TTTTTTTTTTTTTTTTTTTTTTATTAAATTGACGTGACGATTGAAGGCTTAATTGGGTTAAAATTATCCCCTTTCGGTGTATTTTAGATGCGACAGAATAAATGGCTCGATGGATGTTTTAAGAGTGCACCGTGTAAAAAAGATGTTTGGCTTCTTCTGATAAAACTTCACTTTCTTTATTCTGCTACATTTACATTATTCTGCAAAAGCTCTTGATAGTGATATTGACCCATTTGCCACCCTGGGATCCTTTTGAAAGAAAGGAGCTTCTTGAATCAATGCATTGTTTCAAGATTTGTCCAAGTGTAAACATCGTTTCCAACCTGATGGTGTGCTCGACAGAGTGCTGCGGGACGGTCAAAGGCGTTTTGACGAAGGACGGCCCTGTCTGCACGTTCAGCGACGTCTATCCGGATGCAGAAGTGTTGTGGTCTCACGCGTCCCAAAGCCAACCGGAGGCACCTGGAAGGCAGAGCACTTTTAAAAGTGTGGAAGAAGGCGGCTGGGTAACCATTCGTAGCCAGTTGGAAGGGAATTCCAACGGGGCCTTCAACTGTACCTTGAAGCGCATCGACTCTGGAAGACAAATTGTTTGCAATTCGTCTGAGGATGCCCAAATCCTCGACGGATATGGACTAAAACCTCAGGGGTTCACACAGAATATTGTGAATGGTTCCGGAGCTCTTGACCCTTTCATGAAAATTCTGTTGATATCAATCCTAGTTGTTATAATGCAGAAATGAAGGTTTTGCTGAAGGAATTCCAGAGAACTGAGTGTGATTAGACTCTTTTCACGATCAATGTGCTACCCCTGGGCTCAATCCTCCGCCACCATGGGATTCACTCACCGCCATGCAAATGACACACAGGTCAACATCTTCTCCAATCCCGCTCCTACCTTTTCCCTCCCCACTTGGCTGGATGACTTTATGTGCCATGAGCTGTGCTTTTGTTGATTTTCTTTCTTTGACTTTTTTTTCTTGTGTGCCTTTGTTCAGGTTTTGCTCATTAGGTTTTGGTTTCCACCTTTTGTCGTCAGCCGAGTCTCTTGTGTCTCCCAATCAGCTCCCTCAGCTTACTTATGTCTTGTCCAGGTGTTCCTCGTTGTCTCGTCAGTTTGCTTGCATTAATGTTGCATTCGGGAAAGGTGGGAAGTTGAATTTATCCCTCTCGGATCGTCCCGGTTCCGGCCTCAAAGTGTTTGAGACGAATGTAAACAACAAAGAAGGCTGATTCAGATAAATTCTTTGTTGCTCTGGTTCATCACAACGCATTTTGACCTCCAGCAAACCTTCATAATTTTATTCATTTCATCAAGTAACTTCATGCATGGAGAAATTGACATATCATTGTCAGTATGAATCACATTGTGTTATGTGAAGTTCTGTCAAATAATTGAAAGAATGTAATAAAAATGTAAAATGCTAACTCGGATCTCCCAGTTCAAAGGAGTTTTCTAGTGCACTTTTCCTGATCGGAAGTCATAATACTCTGACTTCCCACCTTCCTCGAATGCACCATAAATTCCCTTGTTTTCCATCTTTGCTGGTTCACTCATTTGTTGCTATCACATGTTAAAGCCTTTATGTGTCCTCGTTTTCCCCATGGCAATGAATGTTTTGTTTCTTTCTTTCTTTCAATCTTTATTTGTGAGACTTGGTGAGTTTGGTGTTTTGTTTCATCCCAGTACCTTGTTTGAGTTTTTGTTTTTTTGTCAAATAAATAATTTTTTTTAGATTCCTGCTGCTCGCCGGTCTTGCCTTCCTGCTTCCCTGCACTTGGGTCCTCCAAATTCTACCACAAATCCTAACATTATGATCTGAATGAATAAAAACTTGCTCACGCTAAATCGCAATAAAACCGAGGCACTGTTCATCATCTCAAGATGCACCCTCTCCAAGTCACACTCACTCCTGCTCTACCATTCATGGTGGGTACCCTTTTTCTGTTGTACTTTTTAACCCATACTTTGTCAGGTGGCCTCGGGTATCATGAAAGGCGCATCTAAATAAAATTATTTATCTCTTGTGTGGTTTAGTAACAATGAAATACTGCATTGCTGACAAAGACCAAGGGAGTGCTGCTGGCACGGTCCAAAGTTTTATGATTGTGTTTTCACTTCCTGATTTGATGTGAACAAGGAATTCACACACTGTTGAGTGGTGATAACAAGGGAGCGGCTTACCATCATTGCCAAAACAAACGACATATCTCCTGAAACTGGGTCAAATTTAATATATGGACAAAATACAGCTTGGCATAACTGTTTCTTGACTGTGTTTAAAAGGTCAGCATACCGAAGTCATAAGCCTTAAGTAACAAGTAAATGTCAGGAGTATATTCTAAGTTGATTCGATAGATGGGAAATTGAAAAGAGTTCCTTGGTCCACTATGAGGAAGATCAACTATATCTTCAGACTATTTTTACCAAATAATTTTAAAATATATGTTCCAATCTATATACACTATATTCATCCACCATTATCCAAACTGCTTATGCTCACGCGGGTCTAATTTCTATATAATAATGCCTAATTTATATATATTAACGTATAATATTCCTGAAATGCACAGATGTCTCCTCAAATCTACAGATAATGAACCAAACATCATATGAGGGGAAATACTGTAATTTACAAATTGGTTGTTGCTGTACCAATAGCTGTTTGAATGCATGGTGGACAACGGAAACGGAACAAAATGCATTTGTTCGAAAAAGTAAGTTTGCACAATAGTGTTGATCAGCGGTATAGAAGACGGCTGGATAAAATTCCCCATGTAGACTTTAAAGTGAATTTTCAAAAGCTGAAAGCAGAAAATTTAGCTGGCAAAGACCACGCGAGTGTTTTATGGGTATGTGCTGCCCCCTGTTGCATTACTTGGGAACTGCATCCAGGCAGCACTTAAACACGAAATTAGTTTGTTTTCATGTCGCGTATAACTATCTCAGTTTAACTTGATCATGAGCCTCAAAGTTTTGCACATTTCGACTGTTACATTCCGATTCTTTTCAGCTCCATGTTTGTGTCTTTTCGGGATTCGAAGCTTTCTCCATTTTTTTTGCTTCAGTGCATTCAATTCATAAGAGGAGACAGGTGAGAGCATTTTCAAGTCACTGGCTTGACTCGAGAGAGAGAGAAGCGGAGCTTTTAGCCTGACAGCGAATTTACCAGTGCCAGTGTGTCACATCGACCTGACAACACGCGCAAGCACACAGCCCACGTTTGCTGAAACCCTCCAAGTGGCATCAAACGTAATGCGAAGAGCGCGGTGATCTTCATGCCTCACGGTCAGAAATATCAGTTGCAAAAAAATTGTGAAACACGGCGCCGTGAAAAAAAATCAAATCTGTCTTTTTCTCAAAATTCCTATTTTTGGGCAGAATTCGCCCACTTTAATGTTCACGATATCGGACAAATATAACCCATGTCAACATGAAATGTTTAAACCATTTAGCATTTCACTCTGGGTGTCGAGTTCTAAACTGTGAAGTAGTAGAATCAAATGTCACTTGACGAATTGAACGATTGAAATTAATTGTTTCCCCGCACACTATTTTAATTTACTGAGACGCACCGATACGAGTCTCACCAGATGGAGGCGCAAGTGGCAAACAAATCGCCAGTCCGTTGGCGCATGCGAAGCTGACTTCATTGTTTGGACAGAGGCGAAATAGTTTTAAATTATGTTGCTGATACACATGCGGGGTCTTTGCTTCCTTTACGACAATGGCCCCCAATATTCGCAGCTTAGCACCATTCGTGTGTTTTTGTTTTGTTTTGTTTTGTTTTTGTGGGGGTTTGGGGGAGCATAGCCTCTGTTGAAAATGTATGTTGAAGGTTTATCAGTGTTTTTTGTAGACTTCTGGAGGGTGTCAAATACCCACAAAAAATCCATATCTGTGGGCTGGCCCGGTCCTGATACCTGGCAAAAAGCGGTGTTCCACTGTATAATTTTACCTTCAGGTGTCACCATTCATCACTAGATGGCAGACATGGCTTGGTTGGACTCCACCGGGTCTTGCAAAGTGAGTTGGCCGAATATATACTGCTCAAAAAAATAAAGGGAACACTTTTTGTTGCAAAATCGGAATGCCATGTAATATTGACATTTTTGAGCGAGTTGATTTTAGTGGAAAAAAAATGCACAAAAATTGAGTTCTTGCTCTTAATGTTGGTTTTGCTCTTCAGCAGTTTTGTGCCGTCCTTGAATGGTAATTTTTATGCGCGGAAGCCTTTTGAAGTGGGGAATAAAATATCACAGTATGTGGTTATTTAGTTGTTTGCATCAAAGCCTTTGTTGTTGAAAAGGAATCTTTTCCACATGCATTGTGAAATGTATTATGAAAACTGAAATATATTAAGAGCACGTATTTTATCAATACTGTATTAAATATAACATTTTTGTTATACATCTGATTAGGATGTGTGTGGTATAATGTGCCCCCTCCCCAGTAGCATTGATGAAAAATTGTGGCCACCCGAATCATCATTTAAGTTGCCCATCCCTGATTAAAAGAGTATGCTTAAGTGAACCCAGCGTACTCAGATAATTAGCAGCAATTATAGAAAATTGTCATGTCAGTCACCTCCCAGTGACAAAGCTCTCTCTTATAGACCTGCAATTTCAACTGGAATCAAAAAGATGATACACATCCATTTTCTGTTATCTTCTTACATCACTTCTCCATGTTTTAACTGTCTCACCTGGTCAAAGTACACAGTGGTAGTTTCTCATTCATTTAACCCCATGTGTGCGCGCGTGTGCGTGTTTGCTTCAGGTTAAGTTCCCATGGCAACACAAGTGTCTCGCTGTGTGCCCCCGGCCTGGTGTGTTTGTATGCCTGGACAATTATCGGTGGGGGGTTGGAGGGTGGCTGTTATCTTCTCTCCGAGAGGGTTACATTATCTCCCTGGCAGCCTGGTGGTCGCGGGTCAGGTGAGCATCCTCTCTCAGGTGGTTACATCACACACACACACACACACACACACACACACACACACACACACACACACACACACACACACACACACACTGTTTGTGTGTTCAGATGAACGAGAGAGTCTTAGCTCTTCAGAGAGAGAGAGAGAGAGAGAGAGAGAGAGAGAGAGAGAGAGACAGTGATAAACATATGCACACATATTACTC